TTTACACCCAATCAGCGAACTTCAAACGCGCTATCCCTTTGTAAAAAGTTTTGTCATTGAATGCAACTAACTGTTGTGAAAACATTTGAGGTTTCCAAGGTGTGAAATGTTAGTATATAAATACAAAATACGCGGGATATTTGTGTAATACGATGTAAAAAAAAAAAAAAAAAAAGGTGAACAGCTAACAAGCAAAACGTGCACGCAAAAAGAGCACGTTTCATCGACAGAGACTCTATTTTTATTTTAACGTTCCAAGGGAAGAAATGTGTCTGAGATTTTGAAGGAAGTCTATGTTTATACTTACCGTAGTCTTATAATAGCCTATGTTTATGCTTACTATATTACCTTACAACCGGACTGCCATGTATAGCTGCTAAATTCTCATTGGCCGAAGTTGGAAATTATAGCTTCTAGAAGCTGTACAAAGGAAGAATCAATTCTGTCCGCGTAAGTGTCTCTACACCTGAAACGTTAATTTCATCGATGCAATTCGACACCTACGACTCTCTTCGTCGCTTAATATATACCTCGTATTCATGCACAAAATCAGTGTATTCGCGCACAAGATTAAGGCCACGAAACAACCAGTGAAATATAAAATTGGTGAAAGCGGGACCGTTTCGCGTTTTCGTGGCCAAAATTATTTTAGTTTTGTCATTTCGTCGATTGAAGATCGCAGTGTGGTAGGTCGTTGTATCTCGACGTCAGCTTTAACGTTGCCAAGTCAAAAATGCGTAACGACGTTTTGAAAAACCTTGAGTTTTCGCGAGAACGAAAATTTTCGTCGAAACTCTCTGCTCCGAAATTTGCAGAAGCTGATTTAATTTCGATTTTCAGAATTTTGAGAACGTCGTATTCGTTCGCGTGACAACGATATATATATATATATATATATATATATATATATATATATATATTTCGGATCCCAGAGTTTCGAAGAAGAAAAAAATTTCTTCAATCTATCAAACTTGAACGATTGACTTTTGACCGGTTTTAAACGTGGTTCTCTCTCGTCATGGTAATTCAAAGCCTGTGCAAACTTAACGCCGAAGGAAAATCGATCTCTGAATCAACGGTATCCACCGTATCTCCACCTTGGCCGACATATTGGCCAGTGTTACGAAACAACACTGTTGTTCTAACATTTCAAGTGCATACGCTACGGAAAAAGGACCACAAAATTCACGGTGCCCCTAACCTATTCGTCTCGCGAGCAGTGTCATTTTGTGAAAGGGTAACGGTCTGGTGGATTTACTGAGAAGCCTTGATTTATTAATAGAATGTACAAATTCTATAATATACAGAATAATTATACGCAAATTACACTGTAACATACAAACGAATCTCGTCAATGAACAATTTTCTTTCGTAACAATATGCAAAATGATTTATCAGTAAAATGTTCAAATTTTATAATATACAAAATTAATTATATACAGATTACATTATAATGTACAGACGAATTTGTCGTTTCAATTTTCTTTCGCCAACGATATGAATGCAAAATAAACTAGGACACGTAACCTAACTTCAAACCTAACCTAAAGAGTCTCTTAGATATGTCGGAGGATCGACTTCTCTCTTTTTCGTCACGTAATCGAGACTCACCTGTTAAGAAGTCGAGAGAAACGAGAAGCAGATCGATGGCTTGAGAACGAGCGGTGCGAGGGAGGATTCCCGCGTTTCCCATCGGCTTCCTAGAAAAAAAAATACGGTGGCGCATCCATGCATTCGATAACCCTGACCTTTGCCCCCTCGCGTCGAAAGCGAGAAGTTCCCAAGGAGCATCGTAATTCACGCATCTCACGTGTCTCTTCGCCTTCTGTTTGAAGTTCGAATCGTCGAGTCTCGGATTGGCTCCCCCGTGTTTCTTCGGTTCAGTTTTTTCAGGTCTCTCGTTTCGTAATTCTACACCGCGGCTGTAGTCACCTTCACCACGCTTGATCAGCTGTGTTTGTCTTGTCGCGATTACGTTTGCATTAAATGTATCCAATTCGCGGTGGTTGAAGACTTTTTCAGTTGATGGTAATGACGGTCACTGTAACGCGGCACTTCAAAAATGTCGCGCGAATATTGCGTCATATCGTTGTTATCGCAACACAAAGAATGAGTCACCGAATGGAATACACGTCGAGGTGTTGGAAAAAACGTGGAAAGGGGAAAAATCATTTTTTTTTTTATCGTTTCCTTGAACGACTGATAAAAAGCAAATCGTTATCTCCATTGTTATCCGATAACGGGAAAGTGAATTAAGCTGTTCCGACGTCACCGAAATAGTAACTCTAGTTGAGTTTGTCGTTAGTAAAAGTCCCTTTGGAAATCGCGTGCATCAATTTCTAGTTTATCGACGATGAGTGTGATTGAAATTCTTACGTGGAACTGTTGTATCTGAGTTGGAAGCTGAAGAACGGACACAAATAAAGTATTATAGTTTTACGTAGCGTGTAAAGGAAAAAATAAATCACAGGTAATTAAACATGTATAACGTATAATCTATGTGATATATGATTCACTTGCAAGATGTGGAAGATTATCATTACTTATGTAAAGCTGTCTTATCTTTTGTACATTCTTCTTTCGTATAGCTGATAGATGTAAATACGGCCTCTGTTTGTTTTACAATGTTTAACAAATAAAGACAAACGTGTTCATTTGTTGTCATTAGAATAGAAAGTCACATATTAGTTCAGTACTCCTGATTTATGTACCTTTGTTATATTAGATATCTCTGCAAAGATGCGGTTTGCATTCTTTTTCCATTTACATTCAAGACATGCTTGTTTCCTTTTTTTCTTTTTTTCTTTCAACGATTGCAAAAGATACTCTTGACTTGCAATTGCGATTCGTTTGAATGATTTTAACGCGTTTGCAACATTCTAAACCGCGCTGTGTAATCAAAATTGGAATAATTGAATGAGAATTTTATTATTTGAACAATTTTAACCATAAATGTTCATGATGTCCCTTTCCGGGAGCATTTATGTTGTGCGAACGGATTTTTTGTCCATACGAAAAATAAAACAAAAATAAACAAAAATTTCAGACGAGCATCTTAACCTCTTGCCGAAAATATTTGGCCCAAAATTGCAATTTTCTATTTTCTCATTTTTAAATATATTGAAATATAACTCGAACGAAACAAATAATAAATTTATTACTCATTTCTATCCAGTAATATACCGACGAATTCAAAAAAAGAATTATTGTATACGGATTTGGTCACTCGTTATGGTCCGTGAATCAGTTACTAGCGCAAGAGGTTAAAAATACTCTTACTTGGAAAATACTATTGCCATTATCTGTATCAAGCCAGGCATTGATGAACCGGTATTTAAAAAAAAAACCAGCTCAGTGTTCTCATCTTTTTAATTATTATAAATATATTTTTCTAATCAATGTGTCGTTTCAATACATACAAATATTGTTTCAATATCCTCGTAAATAATATACATATAGGTTATGTTGATCTCTTTGTCAGCCAATGAGACTCGGAAGATCTAAAAGGTTGGCACCCATGTCCTAAGCAGTTATTGGTGGTGGCGACTCCTACGCATCATGCGACTCGGTATATTTAATCGCAATATTTACGAACTGGAACGAACTGGTTCCTGTCGTGTTTCTATCAGAATTAGCAGAGATGCATGTGACGTTATTTGTGAATTGGAAATTATCACTAATAAATTATATCGAATCGTACATTTCGGTGTCAAGCGGTGCGCGTCGCTAAGCGATTAAGATGGAGTGTCATGGCTAGTTGCTTTAGAATTGTTGTAGGGTTCTGTTGCTTCCGAGTCATGAAAGAACGGAACACTCGGAAAAACGTAAATCAAATACGGCAGTATTTTAGTGGTCTCTCATTGAAAGACGAGAAGTTCAAAATAGGTTTATTATCTTGTGAAAGATCGACGTTTGACCTTGTTTCCTCCTCCCGCGATAAATGTCCTGAAATGACTTGTTCCAATGTGATCAGTTGCACGTTGAACGAGTATCACGTATTATTTTCCTAGTTTGTAATAGCTATAACACCAAAACGATTATTTCGTGTAAAATCAGGGGCTTCTCAAAGTGTGGGCCGGCGTAATTAAATTTGGGGGTCGCAGAAATTTTAGCAAAACTAAAAAATCGGTATGAATATTTGGCTACTTGTCTTTAATACATGATAAAATTATATTCACGCGTGTACTACAGAATTGTTTTCGAATAAATTTTCTTTGTGATTTGTTATATCAACAAATGTTTCAGTTTGCATTCTTAGCTTATATACCTCTATATCCAGAGTCGTCAAAATATTTGCTTGTTTGAGATGAGGAAAAGTTTGAGAAACCTGGTATGGATCTAAACTTTGAACTTTAAAGAACAAAAATTTAAAACATTCCAACATTTCGCCATCTAACCTTAACGTTCAATGAAATTGCAAATCGTTGTAAAGAGGAAATTTCAGTCTTCAGAACCACGGTGGATCGTGTCACGAAAAAAAAATTTTGAACCCTTGCAATTTTTAAATATAAAAGTGCTCTCGAATAAAAGCACTCTTCCCGTAAGAGGTTACGCCGCATGATGTAAAAATATCTTTGGAAAAAAAAAGAAAAACAAACTTAGGACAGTCAAAGTAAAAGCTTCACGCTTTAAGTAGGTCCTCGTACGATATTCCTTTATAAAGTTGAAATGCTAAAGTTATGCTTCGAGACCGTTATGACGTGTATGATTGCGCTACGTTACAATTTCGTCGGTAATAATTAGTTGAAGCGTGCGGTACAAGACGATCCAGATGTTGTTCGTGCCCACGCGTTGTTCCGAGGAATCGCTACTTCGTGGAATGACGTCACGGAGGGACGCAGCGCCGTGATTGGTCGATTAACTGGGGAGACGAAGCGTCACGGTCGCGATGGTGGGGGAAAGAGCGCGCGCTACGCGACGCGACACGATGCTACGGGACGAGACGGGACCGAGTGAAAGAGGGGCGGCGAAGCTGTCTCGGCGCTGTGCTATTTTCATCGTCGCGCTACTGCTGGCCCAGATTCGATGCGACCGTCACGACGTGAACGTGATATCCGATTCGTCCGCGAGTTCGCTGGGCCACCCTGCTCCCGTACCCTCGCCTCTACAGTCCACCCGTAAAACTTCGAACGAGTAGTAGAATCCCAGAAACGAAGAGCTCTCTCCTCTAGCTCGTTCGTTGACGCGTGAATCGTAGGAATTCGAAGATCGTATATCGTCTGGATGTTCGTCGTTTAATTTTGTGTTTAATTTTTTTCTCTCTCTCGTTTACATACTTGCAAGAGAGTGTTTTTTATGAACTGCCACGGAATCGTGCCAAGTGAAATCGTGTGCAACGCGTGGTGTGCCGTTACGCTGTGTGTGTGTAAGATGTGACTTCCCGGCGTGCATCCGTGCGCTGTCGTCACGCCGTTTTGTCGAACCCCCGCGACCGTGCGACGTGCGGTCCTCCCCACGTCCCGCACTGCAATAACAGATCTCGCGTTGTACTCTGCTGCGCGCGGCGAACCCAGAGGCTTCTGATATATCCGCTCTAACCCCGGCCAGGCTCGTTCGGGTCGTCAAATGACCTTAAGGTATGTACGTTCCTCGCGGTCATAGATTTTCTTTCTTTTCCATCTGTCGGCTGTTGTGTCACGTGGTCAAACATTTTCACCCGCGTAACAGTCTTTGGTACCATCTATCGGTACAATCAATCGTAAAAAAAGGGTTCGTGCTCCGTGTGATAAAGCTGTTTTAATTTTGTTTTAAATTTCAATTTTAAATATACTAAACGGTACTAATTTCTTTTAACTGAAGATACATCATCGATCTTCGGTACACTCTAGTTAAAATTGCAAAAAAAGAAGATATCCATTTTCTAAACGTTCCAGTTTCAGGCAGATTTCCAAAAAGTTTCGCTTCTCCTAATCGCGTTACAGAGCAAATACGTTCGATGACTTGTTCACGCCTTGCGGACGGGCAAACAGGTCGCAGGCATTCATTGGCATTGCGAGCCCCTTGTTAATGTAACCACTGGCGAGCAAGCGCTGATTGTTATCGAGAGATCCGCATGTAAACGAGAGTTACACCGGTGAACGATAATTTATCATGTAAATTCACTTCGCACGTGGCACCGTTTCAAAAACATTTGATCAATTATATATCGAAATTCACTTGCTTGTTACTAGTTACTTCGGCGCGGTGTTTCCACTGTTTTTATCGGCAGGCTTCTCCTCGGGCACGTGAACTCGCGCCCGTGAACCGTGAACGACTTACCTAGTTAAACTTCATGGTTAATGTATGCAAAGAAATGTGTATTAAACGCGTGTATAAGAAATATGTGTATTTTGGAGTTTTTATCGGACCATATTTGGAGAATATTTTTTTAGAAAAATCTGTGAAGTGCTGCGGATGGTGAAATGTTCGAATTTATTGTGTCAGTTGTAGGAAACATGATATTTCTCATACATGATATTTACCATAATTTTCCACGATATATGGGTGACATGGGAAAATTGTATACGAACGAACGCGATTGGAGTTCAATTCAAGTTCAACGAGCAGAGAGAGCTTTGACGAGAATCCAAACAGCGGGGGGTGACCTTGAGTGCTTTGACATTGACTAAAAGTTCACGGCGAGGACTTACGTGAATTTGGTCGACAGTGAAATTGCTCTTGCAACTTGTTTACGCCAAAATTTATTTATTTATTTATTTATATTTATAAATAAGCAGACCGCGCAGCAAATTTATAAATCAAAGTTTTCACTATTTTAATGATAATTACAATTTTGATTTACGATTTGTCACGTTGTCAAATTTTGTTCGTTGACATTAATAACTGAAAGATCACGTCTCGTGCAAATTCTCGGGGGAATATTGGGGAAATATATAATCTTTAAATTGGGGATTTTTATCGAAGGTAAACAAGAATTTAAATCACGTTGCATCGGAACTAGAAACCAATGTTTTCGAAATGGGTTAGTAATGCAAACGTTGACCGTTTGCTCGACATTTAACATGTTCGTTGCTAACGATTTCGATCGGCGACTGCCGCCTGATCAAAACGCGTAAAGTAAACGCGCTTTCTGTTATCATCGAGCTTGTATAGTGCATCGCATTACGCGTTTATTTGCCCGTGTATGTTACGAGAAAACTATGGTTAAATTTACGCGACTACTCGAGGGACTTATTCCATATTTTTCTTTTTTTTTTTTTTCCTTGTTAGATGCTTTATAACTAGAGACTATGGAACAGTGGTTCCTAACCTTTTTTTAGCCATGCACCACCTAACCTTTAAAATCCTAATGCAACTGTTGTGATAAATGAAATAAATGAAATTCATAATTCTTATTATTCAAAAAAAAGTGAATTTCTGTCTTCAAGTAGAGGAAGCCTAAAAGGCCATTGACTTCAAGGTCTGACAAAGCTTCCAAAGAAAGAATGACATCCGTGAAAGAAAGAAAAATTAGAAATTGGTTAGAAACGTTCATTTAAAGAAATGCAAGAAATTCAACTCATTCTCGAATTGTTTTCCCTGGAAAAAAAATTGCTTTCAGTTTTTCAAATTGCCTCACGTTGAGAACCACGGCTATAGAAGAACGAAATGGCAAACCAATTTTGTCGAGTTACTGAAATAAAATTTTTTTCAATCGAAATATATATATATATATTTTTTTTATTATAGTAGAAAATATAGATGAATGTACCGAATTTTATCGATAATATGCACTCGGAAGGGATTAAATGCTCCATCATTGAAATTGCAATTTGAACGAATAATATTTCGCTGTGAAGCAAAAAAAAATTCCGCCGTCTCGTATCAATGTTTCTCTAGTGTTTTTAATTTTTTTAAAAATTAAAGCGATTTCGCGTCACAACGCGACCACGACCATCTTTTTTTTTCTGCACAAACGTACGTTAACATTGCATAAGCTCATAAAAAATATTGATTTTCTTTAATCTTTGCTTCCTCTTCTTCCTCTTACTCTGTCGGAGAAAAGAAAACGGGGGGAAAAGAAAAATTTTATAAATAAATTTCAACAGTCTCATGGTAAATTTAGAAGTTTATTATAATAATAGTAGCGGTGGTGTCAGATGAATTTTATTATTACTTTAATGTATTGTTACAATCGTTTCAAAATGATATTGTTAGGTTACAGATGAATGATTAAACTTAATTTTAATTCATATGTCTACACGAGTGTGTCTGCATGTGTGTGTGTGTGTGTGTATTTTACGATAAACGTATTGATAGCCAGTATAAATACGGAATATAAATTGAAATTGAAACACTCATTCTAAAATTAAATAAGTGTTTATTCAAACTCTTGTGAATAATCTACGAGTCCGCGATATCAATTCAGGGTTAGTGTCTCGAATGTTCAATTTTTTGAAATTGAAATATATATAGATCGTATCTCCTAAATACATTTATATTACATACTCGGTGCAATATTTTAATAATATTCGACAAATATTGAAGAGCCGTAAATTTGTTCCGATCCCATCCGTTTGTTATTTTATTGAGAAATTTAGATATTAATTTCAATTTTCAAACGGAAAGTTTGTTGTGTAAATTGCATTTGAACGCGAGATTAATCAGGGTTGCATTTACATTTGCAATTAAATGTTCTCTTCGCTTATCGCGTTTCGCCGTGGAATTTCGTCCGAATGTGGAACGCACGATTCGTCAAACAATCGTGTGACTCACTCGCAATCAGTCGGTCTACACGTGAGAAAATACCTTACGTGCGGAGAATTATCTTGTCGCTAGCTTTATAAAGATAAAAAGAATCGTGCAACATATATCGCACCAATCCCACGAAACATCGAATTGAACTCGAAGAGACACTCCTCTTTGCAGATTGCTGATTATAAACTGGTTTGATTTCTCGAAACGCGAGGAATTTTTATTAAATGGCCGAGTTTGAAGCAGAAGACGTTACAATCTTTAACATGTACGGCTCGGGATAAATTTTTACGGTAGCGCGATGTATTTGCAATTCTTGCAGTCGTGGTGAGTTAATTGCGTGGGAGAGTTAGCGCAGAGTTTAATTAACGTGGATAGAAAGTTGGCCAATGAATGCAACCAGTGATTGTTGCATCGGACATTTTGAAACAAGCTACCGAGCAAACACGAGAAAAACGAATTGTAAATGCAACGAGGTAAAACTAGTTGATGTAAAATTCAATTACATCAAAGAGACTCTTTCTACGAAGTTACATCTTAGAGCGTAAACAACGAAGCCACCTCAAAGAGACGGCTCCGAGAACACATTTAGTCATTTAGCCAGAAATCACTTCCTACTACTAAAATAAATCCGTAATTTTAAATTTAGTTTGTTTTTTCTTATATTTTGATGAAAAAAGAATAAATAGGTGGGAGGAAACTTTCGGCCCACCCTGTATAGAAATTTGCCAGTCACACGGGTAAATTTTCCCGCCAATTTTTCGGCGAATCGTTGGTTCTATGTGATTCCATGAGATTAAAATGTCCGTAAAATTTCCGTCAGAGACATTAAAGTAAAAAAAAAAAAAAAATAGTAAAAAATAGTACAATAGTGTATTATACAAGCTTTCATTTATATATTTTACGAAAAATTATCTAAATCTTTAAAAATACACTGTTATTACGTCTATAAAATATCTAACAAAAATTATAAATTGGTCATTTTGGTCACTTTGGGGTAGATGTGGTGTTAACTCAGCTGAGCCAAAGCTAAAATGGGGGGAATGACATGGTGGAGGGGATACAGACCAGGAGAGTGGGGGAGTTGAAGCATAGAATTCCCATGAGAGACATTCAAGTCAAAAAGATAGAGAAACTCTATACACAATAGTGTGTACAAGCTTCTATTTATATATTCTACGAGAAATTATTTAAATCCTCAAAAATACAGTGTTGTTACGTCCATAAAATATCTAACAAAAATTATAAATTTGTCGTTTCGACCACTTTGGTAGTTCCAGTGTTAATTAATTCCTTTGTGCTCGAAGTTCCGTTTAGGATCTAGAAACTGTCGCTTTAGAATTCAGATGTACACGATGACCACGTAACCTGATTTATTCTTCAATTGCGTTCAATTCTAACGGAATCGAAGGTTAATTGTTAACTAATCAACGAGTAGAGAGGCTGGACTTTGGATTTTATACTTCAATAAAAGCAAGTATGCATTTAGAGTCGTATAACTTGGACTTTGGAAGTCCGATGACTTAATCAAACCTGGTGATCGAATGATGGCGATCATTCTACGCTTAACTGACGTCGAGGAGAAAGTAGTTGCAAATAGTTGCAACGAGGAAAACTGTACCAAGAAACAGTTAAACACAGGCCAAAAATCATTTCCTGCTAAAATAAATCTGTAATTCTTGTTATGTATCTTGTTCAACATTCGAAAGAAATAATCTCCAATCGTGTTTGAACGTAAATTTAATTTAAAATTAATAAAATTAGTTTTCTCTTATATTTTGACGTTTTATTGAAAATAGTAGGTGGGTAGAAACTTTTGGCCCACCCTGTATACAACAATTACACTACGGTTGTCATTTCCAACGACGAAGAAGAAGCTTTGTTTGTTCTAAAATACTTTTTG